CCCCCCCCCCCCCCCCCCCCGCCAAAGAAATGGGATTAGGATTAAAGAAGGAAAACGGAGCCTAACACCATGAGTAACAAAAGAGAGCTATTACAAAGCACCGGAGGAATCTGACACATAGGCCCGATATTGTTTCCAGTTGTCATTTTTGTCATGCAGGGACAGGTCAGGATAGTTTCAGCAAAAGGTTAAATGCAGTCGAAAGGGATTCCCTCTGATCCAAGCAAAAGCCTCCTTCTTCCTTCTTTAATCCTAATCCCATTTCTTTTGGGGATGGGGGAGAGATTTCGGCCAGTGCAATCAATCTAAAGCCATTCGCGATATTTACACAGTGATGAAAGTATGTTCTTGAGGTCTTCCCAGAATCTTGGTACCCTGTTTCCCTAAAAATAAGACCTCCCCAGATAATAAGCCCAATCAGGCTTTTGAGCGCATGCGCTAAAATAAGCCCTCCCCGAAAATATTGCAACACAACAGCAGCCATGAGGTGACCACATTCGCCACCTCGTGCACCACCAAAAATAATAAGACCTCCCCGAAAATAAGGCCAAGCACTTATTTCAGGGGTCAAAAGAAAATAAGACCCTGTCTTATTTTGGGGAAAACACAATAGATAAACTTGCTCCCTCCTCGTCCCAGCTGGATATGAGAGATGCAATGAATTGGGATATTTTCCTAGTCCTGCAGTGTCCTTTCCTGGGGCTGAGAGACCACTGGGCATTCTTCCTATGCCCCAAAATTCCTCAAACATTAGTCATTAGTGTCAGAGGGAATCATACATTGGCCCAGATGTAATCCAGAGTGGTTTGCTGGCTTAATCGCTTTGCATCCCCAGGTTTACCGTATTTTTCGGAGTATAAGATGCACCTTTTTCCCTCAAAAAAGAGGCTGAAAAGCTGGGTGCATCTTATACACTGAATGCAGCATTTTTTGCCTCCCGAAACCCCACCCCCTTCACTAAAATGGCCGTACATAGCTTTTAGAAGGCTTTCAGAGTACTCCTGGGGGCTGGCTCAATTTTGTCCCCCAGCCCCCAGGAACACTTTATAAGTCTCCTAAAAACTATCCATGCCCTTTTTTTTTTTTTTTTTTTTACAAAAAATGGGCCCTTTTTTGCAAAAAACAGGCCGTTTTGGGGAGGTTTGCAGAGCGCAAAACCTTTTTTAAAAAATGTGCCTCTTCAAAACCTCAGTGGGTCTTATACTCCGAAAAATACGATACTTATTTTTTGGGTGGGCAATATTCACCATCATACCATACAGGTAGTCCTCGAGTTACAGCCACAATTGAGCTCAAAATTTCCCTTGCTAAGCGAAACAGTGGTTAAGTGAGTTTTGCCTTGTTTTGTGANAAAAATGCTGTATTCAGTATATAAGAAGCACCCAGATTTTCAGCCTCTTTTTTGAGAGAAAAAGGTGTGTCTTATACTCCGAAAAATACAGTAATATTTCATGCGTTGGATTTACATTCCTAAGAAAAAACTGGTGGTGAGGAAGACCTTTGATTGCATACATCCCACCAGTCCTACTGTAGAGGTACAAGAAAGAGGATGGAACATATAAACATATGTGGTGGGAGTGTGATAGTGCATAAAAAATATGGAGCATAGTGTTTAGGGAAATTAGAGCACTTTTGAATGCAAATTTAGATATGTCACCAAGGATTGCATTATTGTTGCCGGTGGAAAAACGAGATATAAATGAAACAAAAAAGGAATTGATTGGAAATTTGATAATGGCAGCTAGATTAGTGATGGGTAAATATTGGGGGCGAAATTGGGACATTCAAATAAATGAGTTGTATAATGGAATTTGGAGTTGGGCAACAAATGATAAATTAACAATAGAGATTTAATTTTAAAAAGGGATGATTAAAGCAAACAATTATAATGAAATATGGGGGGATTTTATAAAAACAGTGTTGGTAGAAGGCAAAGGGAATAAACCTACTCAAGTATATATGTTATTTTGGTGTGGATAAGGGAACAATTGGAATGTATTGTATATCTTTTAGTTGTTATAGAAGAAATATAAGGGGGAGGGAAAGTTCTCCGGGGGTGGGGTGGGGCACTGTAAGATTTGTATTTTTTTTTATTTTTAAAGATTTATATGTATTATGTTTGTTTATTTGTATTTAAAATTAAAATATATTTTTTAAAAAAATGTGAATTACACAAATCTATTGAATCTCCAAAATGGTTCAGATACGTCTCATTTCCTGTACATGTCTAGAAATGTACACATATGAATGCTGACATTCAGACTAGGGTGCCCATTCTAAGCATTGCTCACACTACAGAGAACAACATGATGCCCAAAAGAACAGCACCCTCTTCTCTTTTAAATCAAAGTGGGCCAGGTAACTGAAAGAAGTGTCTCAAAATGGGGTGGTGAGGAAAAGGCGTCAAAACTTATCAACTCTTGTGCCTATATTAATGGTTGGTAGGAAAGGCCAACCTACGTAGCCTCTCTGATCTGTCAACTTTCAGAAGCCAGAATCCCAAAAGTGAGAGGGGGATGAATACTGCCTTTCAGTGCCACTTTCTCAGATTAAAAACTGTCCTCCCACTGCCACTTGTTAGCCGACAGGTGTCTAGTCACAGATTGAGCTCCCAGTGTTTCAGCAAGCAAGGAAATGAAAGGGATAGCGATACTTAAAACATTTGTGGATGTGCCCATTCTCTTTCAATCGGCTGAATCCTTTTCAGAACCTGACAAAAGCCTTCCCTGAAAGAATAAACTGGAAGTCTGTGAGACCTTTGCCTCAATTTTACAGAATTCGCGAAGGATTCACCTGACAAACTGGTATATTTGTTTCTCCATGTGGGGATTTGAGAGCAAGTGGGAGTATGGATAATCTTAACTCAATGTTCTCTAACCTAGCACCCTCCAAATACGTTACAATCAGGGGTGGGATTCTACCGGTTTCGACTGGTTCAGGCGAACCGGTAGCTCTGACGATCAGCTGGGAGTGAACCAGTTTGCTCCGACGATCAGATGCGTGCGCTATTTTCCTACCTTTATCTTCTCAGCTGATTCATGCATCCTGAGCTGATTGCCCTACGAATCGGCTATGTTACTCCTGGAAACCCGGAAGTGAAGATTTCATGAAACTGCGCATGCACGTGCGTGTCAGGTGCGGGCGCGTGCAAATCACCCACTCACCGAACCGGTTGCTAAACCGGGAGGATCCCACCACTGGTTAGAATGCAGTTCCCATAATCTCCAATGTCTGGGGAAGGCTGATGTTGATATCTTTAAAATGGCATCTCCCCGAATCCCAATATTTTTGCCGCAAGGTTCAATATTATTTCCTGCTCACCTTTTTCTCTTTCTCTCTCATTCCCCCATCATACAGTATGTGCGTCTAAGTGTTTTACAATTCAAACAGCATCATAAAATAACAGCATCCAATAATTATGTTAAACTAGAGAACTTAATTAATATTAACTGCCTACCTAAATAAAATGCTTTCCAAAGGCGTTTAGAAAGAGCAATTTTCAGAGCCTGCCTAACTCAAAACAGGGGAAGAAAATTCACATCCTTTGCCTTGCCACAAGAAAAGCTTCTTGATTTTTTTAAAAATGAAGTCAATTGATCACAGATTTCTTAAATAACATGAGCAAGGTGATTCTCCCATCATTTCTTTTGTTCATAACTACAGTTTGCAGGACTAGATGGCTTAAACTCACACAAGTGGTACATATTAATCAACTTTAATATCGGATACATATTCAAATTTTAATTAATAAAACGTTGCCCCCTTTTTCTAGCTGTGGTTTAGAAACAGGCACTGCCTGGACACTAATAGGCAGTTAATCCACCAAATTGAAATAGGCCCCCGGGGCCTTCCCAGAATCTTAAGGTGAGATGAGAACCCACAAGCAAGTACCACCCTCTGAACTCTTCTTGGCATCTCCTTTTTGAGCTTGAGGGCTTGCTGGTATGAAGAACTCCTTAGGGCTTTTTGGTTTCAATGGCTGCCTGTTGATAATGGCAGAGCTGGAGCAGAAGAGGATGCTCATTATTGTCAGGAGGAGATGTTTAAGAGCCAGCTAGCCTAACACTTCAAAACCTCAGGAGTTCTCCAAGTGATGAACTACCAACAGTAAACTTAAGAGGGAATAGAGAGACTAAATGCAGGAGATTTGACAGCTGTACAAAACAGACTCAAAGGGGAAGGAGAAATAAATAAGGGAAAAGTGTTGTGTTGATGTCTGATCTCTCGCAAATGTGCTGGAGAGTTCCTTGCCTAATAGCATACAATGGACTCAGTGCAGGAAATATACAAAGTTGACAGTGCCTGTGCTTCCCACTGAGCCAGTGGTTGTCGTTGTTGTTTAAAAAGAGTGCTGTTTTCAAATAGCCAGCAGCAATTAAGAAGCAAGATAGGCTGTATTTTCCTCCTCCACTCTCAACAGAAAATAGTATCAGAAAGAAAGCTTTTTGTACCTTATCTAAGAATGCACAGGGCTTATCACACAATTAAAAAAAAAAGATTTTCTTACTCATCGTAGTTTTGTAGGAAAGTCCTAAGCAGGGACATTCCACTCCCCCACCTCTAAAGTGTCACATCATTCAAATAAGTTTGTTCCCAAGGAAGTTGACTCCAGAATGGCCACCCTTAACTTACGTTTGTCGTTATATGCATTAAAGTTTCACATACCTGGAAATTGATAACTGTAACTGGGGGCAAATCCAGGATATCCTCGGCCATAGGTTGCAACAAAATTTGGGTAACCTTGAATAGACAAGTGTTTGAGAAAGAGGAATTAACCAATTAATTTAAACCCAGATTCTTATTTCACATGCAAATAATTACACCAAAGGCAGGAAGAAATTTGATTTTTGTGCAAAGCATTAGAAGATNCCATGCTCGCTGCCTCCTGCACCCCCAAAAATAAGACCTCCCCAAAAATAAGGCCAAGAAACCCCACCCCCTTCACCAAAACGGCTGTACATAGCTTTTAGAAAGCTTTCAGAGTACTCCTGGGGGGCTGGGGAGGGCAGAAATGAGCAAAAAATGGACTGTTTTTTTGCTCAATTTTGCCCCCAGCCCCCAGGAACACTTTATAAGTCTCCTAAAAAATATCCATGCCCCCCCTCTTTTTTTACAGAAAATGGGCCCTTTTTCGCAAAAAAACGGACCATTTTTGGGAGGTTTGCAGAGTGCAAAAACTTTTTTTTTTAAAATTTGCCTCTTCAAAACCTCAGTGCGTCTTATACTCCGAAAAATACGGTACTTATTTTTTGGGTGGGCAATATTCACCATCATTCCATACAGGTAGTCCTCGAGTTACAGCCACAATTGAGCTCAAAATTTCCCTTGCTAAGCGAAACAGTTGTTAAGTGAGTTTTGCCCCGTTTTGTGACCTTCCTTGGCCCAGTTGTTAAGTAAACCTGCAATTGTTCAGTTACTAACATGGTTATTCAGTGAATCTGGCTTCCCCATTGACTCCTTCAAACTCCACTCCCCTTGCACTCCTCTTTTATTTCCTCTGGGAGGGGCCATTCATTGTCCACCTGTGGCCTTACTCCCAAGTCGACCCGTGGTTTTTAGCTGTTCCCTTCATCTGGCAACTCTGTGCATGTGCACACTGGGAACAGGCTCCAGCTGTTCCTCTACCTCAGGTTTGTCTGACTCTAAAGGCAGGTGATATCTGGCATATGGCTCTGGCCCCCTCTCCGCCTCCGACACAGAGCCCTCATCAGAGCCTTCCCCAGACTCCAGGTCCGGCCCATGTTCCTCCCCAACCTCCTCACTGTCCGAATCTTCTGCCAGTTCTGCTGGCTGGTCACAACAGTCACAACACTAGATCAAGAAAGCAAGAAGCACCTATTTTCATGCTCAGGTGTCTTTGGTGTTAGCCTTGGAGCAAATACAGAAATACAAATCTTGCAAAAACTGCATGGCGAGTTTCTCCTTTTCATTTATAGAATTAGACAAGTCTCTTTGAACGATTTGAAATGCTACTTTTCAGGCTTTTTGTCACCCGGGCAAAATTGCCTTGGGATAAGCCACCAATAGACGTCTACCTCTCGATAGCTTCTCTTCTCTGCCTTCCATTCTTTTCTCAACCTTCCCAGTCTCTCCCATCTTCCTAGGACAAAGTCACTGGCAAAGCAGGGTACCACGCCTCATTCTGGAAGTCAAAGCCCACAGATCTTCAACGTGACACGTTTGAAAACCCCTGATTCAGGGCAATCTGAACCTGCTAACACTTGGAGGGCATTCCAGGTCCATTAAGGTCACTAAATTAGGCAACCTGCAAATTCGTGGTTTACA